TTGTCGTGGTCGTTGTCGTTGTCGTTGTCGTTGTCGTTGTCGTTGTCGTTGTCGTTGTTGTTGTTGTTGTCGTTCTTGGTGTTGTTGTTGTTGTTGCTGTTGCTGTCGCTTCTGTTACTGTTTGTGTTGGCATCAGTCGTGCTAGTGCCAGTGTTGTAGCTACGGTTCTGTGTTTCGCTTCGCTATGTCTCAGCAGTTTACATTGTTTCTTTTGCGGTTGGTTGCCGTTGGAATTGCATCCCAAACCTCGGCATTTGAGGGCTGATGTTCGGCGACTGCTGCTGATTGAGGTTTTTGCATCCTTACTTCCAAAGCTTGACCATGTTGAGTATATCTGTTGGGTTCGCCAGGAGGTTCTCATCAAGAGACTGCACATTCTGCCTCTGAAAGAGGCCTGGTTCATGCTTCAGAGTCCTTGGGGACCCAGGTTCCGAGCTGCCGGGATCTCGATTTGATTCCTTCGTCTTAGGGATTGGCGGTCCTAGGGCTTGCCGTTCAGGCTTCGGTGCGCAAGCCCTTTGCTTTCTGAAACGCCCTTCAAAAGCTCTGGAAATGGCTGATGTTATGCTAGTGCTGCTAGGGCTCTCTCCCTGTAATAACCCTTACACTCCTAGAGCACATGAAAAAATCTAAACACGCCTGCAAGCCTGACAAAGCCGTAAATCCCACCGGAATAAGGCTGTCCAAAGCTAACCTGACGAAACCACACGAAGGCCGAGGACGAGTAAATCAGCACGCGCACCCCGAAGAAAAAACAGTAGCCCCTAAACACCTGCAGCTTTGCCAAACAATACAAGAGCCTCAGGAGAGGGAGGGAGAGAGAGCGAGAGAGAGGGAGAGGGAGCTTAGCATTATCATTAAACGTTGTTAAAAAAGCCCAAACTTTATGAGCCCATAGAGTTTTTTGACTATAAGCCTCATGAGCCCAACATATCTTCTACAGCCTAGCAACCCTATGAACCCTGCAAGCTCTGCATGACCAGGCAGAGCTGAAGATCGGCAGCCAAGGCTTTTAGATTCTCATGTTTACGCTTCGGGCTGGAGAATAAGATTCGGATCTGGGCCACTGGGGGTCTCTGTGTTTAGGGCTGCAGTTCTGTGTTTGAGATGTTGGTAAGCCAGAGCATAGAGCCTAGGCTGTGGGCTTTGAAACTAGGGAGTTTACGGCTTGGCGTTCGGAGTCCAGGTTTCCGAGTTGCGACGTGTTGGTTGGGTCCTAGGGGTCGTCGTGTGCATAGGCTGACTCAAGCCCAAGCAATTCTGCTGAGCTCCTGCTGTCCACTTATTGTCAAACTAGGAAGTTCGTTCTCGTGTAGTGTCGTTTCCATGTTTTTGATTAAAGAGTTGGATTGGGGTTTTTCTAAGCCCTAAACGAGAACCCCGAAAGACTGAATCCTGACCCCTGTGCCGCGTTATACCCGAAAAACCTGAAGTTTTCATATTCAGACTCCAAATCGCCACATCGTAGCACTTGGCTAGTTATGCTCGAAATCCTCAATCCCTGTTACAATGTTTTTTGAAAGTGCGGAGGCCGAATGGAAGTCCTGGCTGACACACTGCGGCAAATCCGCAATGACAAGCAGGTCACGAGCCCGAAACCCAAGCAGAACCCCCCACAGTGCTGGGTTAATGTCGGCGTATGGCTGGTTACTAGTATTCCCCATATAAGCGCCATTGTAAGTTTCAGTATAGCACAACATATCCGAGACCCTGTTCCAATTAGCAAGGGCCCTACTTTTGCCAATGTCAAATTACAGAATTATCCCTAAACCCAAATTCTCGATCAGCAGTTCCTTGGATTCTTAGGCTGCAGGGATCTTCAGGGTAGAAGGGCCTCAAGAGTGTGCACAGGCTTTAATATCTCGGGGTCTAGGGTGGAACGAGTGTGTGTTGGAGCTTCGATAGGTTTTAGGGTATCGGGCTAGGCAGGGGTGTTCCTTGATCCTTAAACGGCAGGTTTTGAGGTTTTGGACCCACACTCAGTCGCAGTACGGTAGGATACCCGAAGGATGTGCAAGAGTAGATACCTTGGCCGTGCAGTGCACAGAACTTCCTGCATAGGAGCTAGCATGGTGCCTTCAGGAAGCCCAGCATGCTAGGACAAGTCTGAACCCCTAAGCCCTCCATGAAGCATAGACATGTCTAGGGAGTTTCTGTTAAACCAGCAGAGGAGCACCGGATATATCTAAAGCACAAGGAGATTCGAGCCACATTTGGCTTTCGTAGAACTGCGGATGTCCATTAAGGTGGCCCTTGCTGTCAGGACACTGGCAGGATTTTGGTATGATAGTGTCAAAATTACGTCCGTTTCTTCTGAAACTCCTTGCCGGGAAGCCTTACAGTTATCTCCTTGTTCGGAGGTGGTGCGCTCGGGAGACATTTTGCACGCCAAAGATGCCGATTTCGTCATCATCAAGCTTTGCTCTCAAAGACAGGTTTAGGCTTTCGGCAACTTAAAGAAGATTGTAGAGGTTTTGAGCTGCTGAAGTGGGACCATTTGGGGGTGTTTGATGGAAGCGCGATGCGAGGTTGCCGTCGCGACGCTCGGATGGCGGCTTGAGGGTTCGATCATCTGAGTGCAGATAGGCTGTCAGAGGGTCGCAGTGCCATGTGATGATCAAGTTCAACACGTAGCTGAAGGGATGCTAGCAACAGCAGAAGCGAGTGCACTCTGCCGCCATGCTCATCAACCCTAGACTCGTACCTCTGTTGTCTAAGTTCAAAAACCAGAAAGCCCAAACTCCCGCAAGGAGACATCGTCAAACAATCCACAGCCAAAAAACCCTAAACCTTCAACCCCAAGACCCCAAACTCGAATCCAAATCGAGCAATTGAGGTCTGATCCTTCTCAGGGATGCCTCGGAATGGAGACGGCCGGATGTTCTGGGCTTTACAGCATTCAGGGTACATAGGTTACGTAGGGCTTATAGGGCTTGGGGTTTGCAAGGTCGGTCTGGGCTTCAGCTGTGGGGTTTCGGCTTGGGGCGATATTTAGAGTTGCGGAGAGCAGGTCGACATGCTTTGTCTTCGCGTCTGGGGCGTGGGCAGTTGGGGCTGGCCCGTAATACCGAATACGTGGCTGGGCGTTTGCAGGCTTGAAGGCTTTGAGGGGTGAAGATCCGGAACTGGGGCTTGTAGCCCAGAAGCCCTCGGGCTTCAAGGCTTAGGTTGAAGGTCTTAGGAGTGTGTGAAGGTTCGGTCACTGCTAGTCAAGGACAACGTTCGCCAAGGATGCCAAGCGAGTACGGAAATCTCATGAAATCTCCATCAAACCAATAATCATGACGACATGCAGGTCAATAAGAGCAATAGCATTGTAGCAGCTACATGGCAGCCGTGGTATTGGCAACAGTGGAATGGGAGAATTTGAATGCTTTTGCGATAGTCATAAAACAACATGTCATATTGCCCATAACGGTAGGTTACAAATACCGCGAAGTGGTTGAACCGGGTGTCAGCATGGAGGAGTCGAGGCTTGGATATGGCTTGCTCCGGGTTCGTTTGTTGCCTGATCGTTCCATGTTGCATTGTCGGTGTCGGCGTAGTCGTGGTCACGTCGTAGTCGGGCATGTTATGATGTGTTGCTGGTTATGCGGCCTCTTATGCACTCTTGCACAACAGATCACAGCCGCCCGCATTTAAATTTTCGGGTTGGTACTATCACCTGCCATAAGAACTCTCTATGAAAAGGAAGACTTTGTCACATGTGGAGCACTCCCTGGCTATGTCGAGGACTTCTTCTTGGAGGGCTCCCCCCTGCCATGCTTCACGAAAGTCCAATTCAGGCCTTTCCCTTGTTTGGCTCCGGATTGAAGTTTCAAGATCCAGGTAGGGTTCAAGTACGGAGGCTAAACTTCAAATATGTGTACATACAATACAGCATGCATACATACCCACATGTTTACATACATACATACATACATACATACATACATACATACATACATACATACATATTGACACACACACATACTTACTTGCTTACTTATGTACATACATGCATACATATAATATACACACATACATACATAAATACATACATGCATACATACATACAGACATACACACACATACATGGCTACCGTCGTAGCCCTGCTAACTCTAGGCATCGGACGCACGCCATAACCCTGAAGTCCAATCCTCGAAACGCACCTACATAAAAAGCAGCCCGAAATGTTCAACGCGATGAATCGAATTCGGATTAGTGGTTGTGAATGTTCACCGGATATGCTTGTTTCAGACTGAACCGTTATTGGGCATGTACGGTTAGGGGCTTGACATTATCCTGAGCAAAAACACAAAAACCGGTGCATTTTGATGACTCTTGGCTCTGGGTCTCCGTCAGGGTTTGGATCTCGGTTGCGAGGCTACGGGTTTGTAGCGGGCAAGCCCTGGCACCCCAGGGGTTCCTGGTTGGTTTTGGTGTGTGGGGCGTCTGGTGTGCCAACAGGGTAAGGAGGTTGATCCGTGCTAGTCGGGCGCATGAGCACATTTAAGGCGACACGGTTCTTCTCGGACCTGAGCAAAACAGTTCCTCGGTTCGGAACTCGTTCTAGGATGCCACATGTCAACTGCACCTAGCCAGTCGAAGAGCCGTGGACTATTGAGTTCTATATGTTTAGGCTAGATGGAGAAAAGATCAGCCTGGTCTGACGAAGGGCAGCTCACTGTTGTAGAGGCGCCAAGGGGAAGAGCAAACGCTGAGAGTGCCCAGATTCTCTGACACATCTTATGGACATACGGCCGAGAGCTTCGTGTACTTCAGTGGGCATGCACTGCAGGATATTCAACTTTCTGGGAGAAGTTGTTGGGTACGATATCACTTCAGCATGTCAAATCTGGCTGACTCTTATGCCGGTGGACTGTACATATTAGGCACCCATCGGTGAGTGCGGATTGTTAGCAGTTAAGCTATGGCTAGTAGTCAGTTAATTAGTCAGCTGGTCAATGCAGTTAGCCAGCTGGCAGCAAGCCAGCCAGCTAGCCAGCCAGTCAATACGTACTTATATTATAAGTTATTATTATTATATATATACACATACATACATACATACATACATACATACATAAATACAATACAATACAATACAATAAAATAAAATAAAATTGCATACAAACGTTGCTATTTGTTCGCTCTGGTCGTTAAGTTGTTCGTTCGGATGTGGTTTGCTTTGTCATCGAGCTCCTGAAGTCTCAGAAACTGCAGTCGTCATAAAGGGTTCTGACGGCCGCATGAAGCGACGCCACAAACCCCGCAGCACACAAAGCTGCAGCTGGACGACCCCTAACCTCGGAGCCTTTAATCCCAACCCAAAGCTCCAGGCTGAAGCCTTACCAGCCCATAAAGCCCCAAGAGCCCTGAACTCCTGGGACTCCCCAACCCTACGCCAGTGCCTGGGGACAGACGCAGATGACTCCAGAGACGCTGTTTAGACAGCCGGGACCTCATCCGTCGGCGGGAACGGGGAAGCACATCCGGGGTTTTAACCTGCAGTGTGTGGGACCCCAGGTCTGGATAACCCCAAGCTTGGTTTCCACTGTTTCTGGAATCAGTGCGATGCTTGGTGGAAAGGAAGACGGGTATATGTGTATTGAGAACGTAAAGGTCTCGGGGTTGAAAGTTTACTCGCGGATCTTCATCTGGCTTGAAAAGATAGACAGTTTGCTCGTCTAGAGCCATCTGACCTTTAAAGCCCTACACCCTGCTTGACCTATAAATTAAGGCTGCAAGTATACAAGCACGCATACTTTGGGAGATGATATAATGTATATTCATGCATTCTCAATATCTCTGTACTATGTGTGTATATAAATAAATAAATATATATATATATATACATACATACATACATACATGCATATGTATATATGTACATACATACACAGAACCTATCTTGGGCTGTTTCACAGCGGAGAACCCTGTCCCAGGTACATAAAGCCATTCTTCAAGCGGGAGCCAGTGCCTCAGATGTCGGGCATTGAGAAGCGATCCAAGGGAATCAGGGTTTCTGCGTTTAGGGGCTTGCGGGTTTAAAAGTTTAGGGGTGTCGGGGTTTGGGGTTTTGACTTAAGGGTTTCATCGATGTTGTTCGGGTGTCGCTTTCGTCTCTGTGGGGCTTACACCGGGGCTCAGGGCTTGTTTGAAGGGTTCAATTTCTCTAGATGTCGCGGTGCTTGCTTCCTCAGCCTGCTTCTTGGCCTCATCAAGAAAGTTATCCATCAGACAGACCCAGAAAGCCTCAACCTGTAAGCTCATTGCCTCAACCCGAAACTCTTTTAACCTGAACCCTTTAGGTGGTCGTAAGTGGCCCACTTGGCGGTTCCTCAAAGCTCCAAGCGCCACGGGTGAAGACCACGCTTATCAAAATCTGGAAGTTGATTGGGCACAAGTTGTTCGTGCAGGTTCTTGGTTTCGGTCCTTGGGTTTAAGGTTCTGGCTTACGGGCTTCATCCTGCAGCTGCTAAAGCCGAGGTAGTTCAAACAGCTGCAAAAAGTCCTCAGACAACGGCCGACTGACACCTGGCCCAGTTACTTGCCCTATGGCTCCAAGAACGCCCAGCGAGTCCGATACTGAGCCTGTGAGAGGACTGCGAGACAGCTTGGAGATGCTTGGAGTATAATTATACGGGTGTCTGGAGGTAAGACGCCCGACGTGTGGACTTTAAAAACTTTACTGCGCCTGCACAGCTATCGAATAGGATGCCACGGCCCAATTGTTTGTGAGTCGTGGAACAGAAACTTACAGGGGACTGGAGCCTGACTCCAAAGCCCGTAGACAGGGTTTGGAAAAAATACAAAGCGTAGCTCAAACCGCAAACCTGGAACGCCGCTGTGCTAAGAAAGCTTGTAACCTTCGCCTTGGAATTAGCTCACCCTTGCTGCCAACACCCAGGCTGCGTGCAACTCCAACGCTACAGACCCCTGCATCGCGCGAACGTGTAAGCTTGACAAGCCCCTGAACCTTGAAACTAATGGGCCCAAAAACTCAAGCCGATCTCGGTTCAGGAGGTTTGCTTCGTTCGAGCATGCTCGCCAGCAGGATGTTTGTTTCCAGAAGCTTTGTAATGCTGCTCGCAACAACAGATGGTCACTGGGCACGGACATCTAATGCTGTATGCTCGACTTGCAAACTGGCTGTTCTACTCTTGGCCCTGGCCTCTCATCCGAACCGCCAAAAGTCGGATCGTAAGTTCGAGATCCTAACCTGAGCCCCCTCCGCCTGCATAGAGGCGGGACCCTAAAAACCCGTGCAGACACGCAGGTCCGGTTAGTCCACGCCGGGCAGGTAATCAAAGCGCGAAATGACAAGGCTTGCTGACAGGGCCGGGCTGGGCGGTGCGAATCTGTGGTAGCGGGGGATGTAGGATTTGGATAGGGCCACTTAAAGCTCATAATTATATCGGCTATCGGATATAGGAGAAGGCTTGGGTTTAAGGCTTTGCACAAAAGGGCGGAGGAAAGGTCGGGGACTGGCAGGCTCTTGGTCCGTGGATGGATCAGGCTGCAGACTCTATTCACATGCGGTTTGCAAACTGGGTAGTAACTGGGGTTCCCTCAAGGACTTGGTGTTTGCTAGCTTAGGGGCTACCATATGAGGACCCCTATTTGGAATAAGATAAGGGAGGTATGATACACTTATGTACACAGGTATACGAAGGCATACATACATCGAGATGGCACACTTGACGCCACTTAATAAGGGAAGCATGGGCATATGTGTGTTTAGTGTGAGAGTGTGTATACTATACATACATACATACATACATACATACATGTGCGTGCATGTGTAGAAACATACATACATATACATATACATATACATATACATATACATATACATATACATATACATATACATATACATATACATGTATATACAGTGCCTATGCCTACGTATATGTATATGTATATGTGTATGTGTATGATACACAGGGAAGACACAGTTAGATGAAATGTAATGCCTAAAGCGCCAGAGCACTCCCCCGCCGCAAGGCCGGCGAGGTCTACCTTCAAGTCGAGGCATGCAAGGGTTTAGTCTAGTTTGATACAGCACATCACAGGAGTGCGGGGTAGTGAGGGCTTGGGACGTTGAAGTGGTGATATCTGTTACAGTTTAGGTTCTGCAAGTAGGGTTTGAAACTGGCTGAAGGGCTTCAACGGTTGGTCAACTATTTAGACTGACGGATTTCTCTAACCGTTTTGGATGCGATCCTGTTATCCAAGCCAGACTGGTCGCTGAGGCTCAGAAAATCATATTTGATTGGAGGCTTTTGGGAGGCTGGGCCTCGAATGTTGACTTAAGCCACGCGGAAAGGCCGTCGGGGAGCAGTGGGAGGCCTGTCAAGCTGAGCTGAGTTCGACAGCGGAGAAAGAAACAGCTGCAAACACATCGGACCCGAGGCTTTGAGCTCCAACACTAGAATCACTAGAACAGCCTTATAGGCCAGAATCGCCGTACAAACTCCATGTTTTTCCACGGCGTAGTTGCGCTCGGCGTGACTATCTCAGCGCTTTTTCTACAGGCTCAAAGTCTTTTGCAGGACCGAACTGAAGTTCCCTCCCTCCCCCCTCCCTTGTAAGGGTTGAGAACCCTTGAAGTCTACAGAAAGTATTGATTTCTGGTCTAATCTTGCAGACCTGAACCAGACGCACGGCTTTCGAACGACATGAAGACAGAACCGTAGGTCCTACACGCGAAACCTCAACCCCATACATCTAACTTCCAAGAACCGCAACACCCAGGCCACTGATCCACCAGGGTTGGGCGTGGTCTCTGTCGGGTCCTTAATTACCGGGCTGCAGAGTCTTCAGACCAGGCAAATCACAGCCGCGCGTGGAGGAGAGTGTCGGAGTTGGGGCATTGCATCCTGATCTCAGTTGGTGTTCAGGCTCAGGGTTGAACGCGCAGAGTTGGGGAGTGTGTAGACTGCTGCTCTCGCACCCGAGCCCATACTTACACACCTTTGCCACATCCTGAAGTTCCATGACCGACAAAAGGCACGGTATCCTCAACTCTACGCAAGTCTGTGAGCTGTAGCACAACGGCAATCTCGACCCTTCGAGTACCCTTCAATGCAGTCTCGAAGCCCCATCTTCTTTGGACGTTTCATTGGGTGCACTCCAAGATGGTGGAAACTGTAACCAAGGCAACGCATGGGGGGGGGGGGGTTGCATTTTCAGAGGCCTCGGCCTTTCTGTGGCAATGTCGGACATTGCACAAATGGCCTTCAAGTCTAGCAGCGGTAATTCCGTAAAGCAGCTACATACAAGCTGGAGATCTCTATCGCCTTTCGCCATCTTTGCCATACTGAGACTGACACAGAGATCTTTGCACTTTGGGATACCACACCCGAGTTCGCAACTTGGCGTTGAGATTCGTGGCTGGGGGCTCGGGGGGAGTATGTTGTGTTCAGGGTTGTCTATTTGGGGTTTAGTGGACTTTGGGAATAGAGGGTTCTGCACCGTCTTTGAGAAGGCATTTTGTGATTTTCGTTTCGGGCCAAGCTCTAAAGACAACAATGTGCGGTAGCGTATGCGCTGTTGGTCTATGAGCCGCGTTTGTTCTTCGTGTATCTAATGTTTGCTTGTGTGGTTGCAGCGAAATACAACTTACAGATACGATGCAGACTACAATAATGTCGAGCGCCATGTACGGAGCAGTATCACGATCAGCGCAAGTCTAGCCGTCCAACCAGGCAAAGCAGCAGCTCGCATCAGACAAAGACAATGGCAGGGTCCGGCTGCACTCCTCGGAGTGCCGTTTGACCCAGTCGAGGTTTTGAAGCATCGAAGGGACCCTGCAAGCCCTTTCGGATCCTAGGAGAAGGTGCAAATTCTGCCCTTCCAGGACCTCTTCGAAGAAGCGCAGCTGCTGTGATCGGTCTCGTTAACATACGTACTGTCGATATTCCTATGAGCCGGGGTTATTGTGTATTTTGGGTTGTATCATGATCTCGAGGTCATTCTTCACGTTATTCTGGAGTGGGCAGAGTACTGAGGGGCTCCGGAAAGAGTTTCGAGGCAGAATATGATGCTGTGGGTCGAGCTGAGCTTTGAGAGGGCAGCATATTCTCGGAGTTCATATCTGCTGTCGACTTCTCAACATATAGGCTAGGCTGGGTGCGGCATGTCGCAACTTCGACCTCACTCGTGGTCTTTATTTCCGGGGTCTTCGTCTTTGGGGTGACATCGACATGCTCCCGTGCTTGCAGGATACTCTGCCACGCGCCTACGAGTACGAGCTTTTCAGTGACTACTTGAAGCCGTACTTGCTCCGGAATGGGCATCGGAAGTACCAGGACAGACATGTGAAATAGTCCCAAAGACAGCTTGAGCATTTGGGGAAGTGAAACATGAACTTGTGAGCCGGGCTGGCACTCTCATGACGCCTGGCTCTGCAATTTCTGTACACCAAATTCCACCAGATTAAACCATGAGTTCCGGGAGATCTAGAAGCCAACCAAAAGGAAGACGAATTACGGCAAACTGTCTTGTGTCGAATTGAACCCCCTGAACAAGCTGACCACACAACCCACAGATGGCTGCGAGGCAGTGTGATACCTGTCATATTAAGAATGATATTCATGTTAACGATGTGGTGGTCGATGATCGAAATGAGAGCACTGGCACTGGCGATCATGGCCAAGGTGATGAAGCTGCTGCGGCTTTCCCCGTTGCGCTTAATCTTGATGCTGTTGTTGACAGTGTGGCCGAGAGAGTCGCATCCTCAAGGAGTAGTGGGTGGTGGTGGATGGTGGTGATGAGGGTGATGATGATGATGATGATGATGCTGAAGCTGGTGCTGATGATGATGGTGATGGTGATGATGATGAAGAAGATTATGATGATTATGATGATTATGATGCTGCTGCTGATCATGATGATGATGGTCAAGGTGAAGGTGATGATGATCATGATGATGATTATTATTAGGATGATTGTGATGCTGCTGCTGATGATGATGATGGTGATGGTGACGGTGAAGGTGATGGTGATGGTGAAGGTGGATGATGATGATGATGATGATGACTATGATGATGATGATGATGAAAATGATGATGCTGCTGCTGATGGTGATGATGATGATGATGGTGTCAATGGGCAGCAACAGAAGTCTTTCGTCAAACACCCCCTCCTGCTGCACCAGATGGGCGACTTCTTCACATACCAGGGTGTACAGTTCAAGGCAAGATTCCCAGAATCCCGACACCCCAAACCCTAAGCAGTCATGGACGCTTAACCCGATGCGCCCTGCACCATAAAGTTCGTGTAGACCCCAAACCCAAAGACCCGAACAGCCCTTATTTCGAGCCCTCAGTTTAGCGGTCACAAGCCTACGTGAACCCCGTAGACAGAAGCTTTTAAGCCTTCAGGCAGATTTCAGAGCTTCAGTATGAGGTTGGGCTTCGGCGAGATGTGGCTACTTGATACCTTGAGACTCAGACCACTAGGGGCTTTTGGTAGGGTCAGGCAGTCTGGCGTTGAGGCAGAGATGTTTAGGGCTTTGGAGACGGAATTGTCGGGGTTGACGGCTTGATCGCACGGAGCTTTATATAGGTCAGCAATTTTGCTCACCGTTTGTCTTTTCCCACCAGCATCAGCACCAAACAAGGACCACAAAGTGGAGCATTGCCCGAATGAAAAAGTTTAAAGAAAGGTGATCCCTTGTGTGCTGGCACTGGGCTGTTGCTGTTGTTGCTGCTGCTGCTGCTGCTGATGCTCCTGCTGCTGCTGGTGTTGTTGTTGTTGTTGGTGGTGGTGGTGGTGGTGGGGGCGGCGGCGGCGGCGGCGGTGGTGGTGGTGGCGGTGCTGTTGATGCTGCTGCTGCTGCTGCTGTTGTTGTTGTTGTTGTCGTCGTCGTGGTTGTTGTTGTTGTTGTTGATCTTGTTGGTGATCTTGTTGGTGATTTTCATGTTTCTTCTTCCTGCCGCTGCTGTTCTTGTGCTGGTTGAACCGGTGGTGTTGATACTATTGTTGTTGGTTGTTGTTGTTATTCCCCACCCTCGGTGTGGGGTTGTTAGGTTGTGCGGTCAGCTATTACTCCCGCCAGCTCCCTGTCTGCTCCTCGCCCGCTGAGACTACCTCCGGAGACTGCCTGGAGTGCCCACCCCTGAAGACTACCGTGAGACTCCCTGCATTGCCCAACCCCAGAAACTGCCGTCAGACTCCCTGTACTGCTAACCCCAGAGACTACCGGGAGACTGTGGAGTGCCTATCCTTACAGACTACCCTGAGACTGCCTTGCAGTGCCCAACCCCAAAGACTACCGTGAGACTGTCTGGAGTGCCCAACCCCAGACACTGCCGTGAGACTCCCTGGAGTGCCCAACCCAAAAACTACTGTGAGACTCTCTGCTGTGCCCCACTCGGGCCCTCCTGGATCGTCGACTGATCTGAATCTAACACGTGTTTTGGTATGTGTATGGGGACCCCACGTCCGTAACGCCAGTCAGTGGTGTGACCCCATGGATCATCGACTGACCGGAATCGAACACTCGTGTGTTGTTACGTGTATGGGGACCCCACGACCGTAACGCCAGTCAGTGGTGTTGTCTGTAGGGTGGGGATGTTCGACGTAAAATAGTTGTTGTTGTTATTGTTGTTTGCTTGTCAGTTCATTGTTCAGAAGGCGTCAAGCGCATACCTGCGACGAAGCCCTTGCAAGTCTTAAAGCCTGTTGAGCCGATCAAGCCTACAAAACGGTATTAATCCAGCCTGCAGAAACTTGCGTCCCACAGTATACAACAGAGACACAGAGAATAAGAGAGAGAGAGAGAGAGAGAGCGAGAGAGAGACAGAGTGCACACTTGTCCTTGCATGTTATCGTATACTATACTGCAAAAGCCTTCGGACAAGTTATTATACTTGTTGTCCACCCCCAGAAAGAGAGTGGGAGAGAGGAGGCCATGAAAGCATTGCAGCCTCTCGTCAGATCGTGGCCTGCGAGCCCGAGGGCTTAGCAGCTCGCATCGGGAAGAGCAGCACCATCTTCTGTGAGCTCGAGGGCCCAGCTTTTTCTCCAGGATGTTTGCTCTGTGGATTTCAGGGTTTGTGCGTGTTGTCCAAAGGTTGGCTTTGTGGGCTTGGCCTTCGGGGGTTGAGGATCGGTCGGAGGTTTGGAGTTCTGGTGCGTGTGTATCATCGGGGGCTGTCCTTTCGTGTCAGACAGTATTCGCAACGTGCTCAGACAGGACAGCTCCAAACTGCAAACCCCTTAGACCACCTCAACCAATTGCCCCCTAAGCCCTGTAGACCCCATAAGTACTGGCTTCGAAGCATGTGCCCAGAGCCTGAGTGCATCGGTGTTTGTAAGATCTTGTAAGGCTTGCGCACGCCGCGATGAGCCGGGCATTGGGTGGACATCATAGTTTCAGGATATACGAGATCATGATGCAGCGAGCGGTCAGTGTCCATGCTCTGGCTTCTGGGCTACAGCTTGCCATGTCCTGAACCGAAATTTCTCGTACCGAAGCTTGGTTCTTCTCATGTCGCTGATTCCTTCGGACATGGCAGGGGCCAGTTGAACCCGACCCTGCGGAATTTGCTGCCGCCGGACCTCATGCATCAGGCAGCACAACTGGCACATGGTTTGGCCGTTGCAGCTGCGATTGAGAATCACTGCAAAGGTAAGGTAGCTGTTGCACTTATTTTCCTGCGCATTGTTCTAGTCTAGTTTCTGCTACAACGACCTAGCTGTACTTCATGGTCGTTTTTGTTCTCATTGCAGCTTGGGCTCTGCAGCATTTTTTGAGGGACTGGAGTGCGTGGATATCCATTCTCCTAGTCCTAGATTACAGTAGACTCTTGGGGCCGTTCCCGTCCCACGAAATTGGTATCACAACCAGAAACAGGAATTGGAAGCAATGCTGCAAATTGTGCGCTCTGGGTTCGCTACACATTACCAGGCCCAGAGCAAGCACAAGAACATGTTGCAGGATCAGCTCAAGACTGTTGTCTGCAATGCTAATTCGGCACACAGGCGGAGCACCAGAAAGAACCTATTCGGAATGGAACATGCACACATGGAGACAACCCGTCAAGCCTGAAGCACGATATCAAGCACGCCTGGTGACAGCTGCCGCTGGCGACTTCGATGTCGTACGTCTTCCACATTTACCTAAGGCATTTGGGCAGCAGACGAAACACAAGTTGCAACGCTGCAACTGCGAATCTCAAGGTCACAGCCAGACATCCGCACAAGGATCCTACTGCCAGAGCATTAGGATCATTAGGACACCTGTACGGGGCATACTACAAAAAACGTGTGGCGTCTTCTTCCTTGTGATGTCAGTGTAGATCTCCGAACAGTGAAAGAACGTCACGACGACCATGACGACCACAGCAGTGCAGCAGTAGTGTCGAAGCGCAGTAGCGGCAGCAGTACGAGCATCATCATCAGCAGCAGGAGGAAAAGTAGCAGGAGCGGGATCAGGAGGAGAAGGAGCAGGAGCAGCAGGAGGAGGAAGAGGCAGAGGCGGAGCGGGAGAAGGACAGGGGGAGGAAGAGCAGGAGGAGAAGGAAGACGAGGAGGAGGAGGAGTAGTCGGAGTAGTGGTAGTCGTCGTCGTGGTAGATGTTGTTTCGCGCCAAGTACTAGTAGGAAGTACTAAAGTGCTGGCATTGTCATTGTTGCAGAAAGCAGCATGGTCCGTTCCTCTGTCATTCTCAGGTGGCACAGCTGCCACAAGGATTGCAGCTGCTCCTCCTCAGTTCCGAACGAACCGCTCGGGAGGTCGAGGTGGGTCTCGTGGAAGGTTAGGCCTTCAGGGTTTCGGCGGGTGTGATTTGGCTTCTTGTCGTGGCGTTGTAGGATGCTAAAGTATTATTTTTGACCTCACAACCAGATTCCAGGAGTTGGCAGAACTGTTGGACGGGGCTTGTCAAAAGCTTCCGCTCAGGGATCAACAGTCAGCAGTTTTGTCAGGGGGTTCAGGATAGGATAAGGAAAGAGAAGGAGGAGGCGGAGCCTTTTCAGGTGGTTGGGGATGGTGGATCAATTTCTTTGCGGGCTTGCGATTTTCCGTTTCTTGCACAGGAATGAAGCATGAGGCACTGGGAGATTTGGGGATCGGGAACCTCGGGTGTTTACTTCGTTTTTTGTTTTTGTTTTCGGGACAGAAAAAACTATTATGCAAGCATGTCATCCAAAATTAAGTGGTTACATTATTCTTCACCTTGGGGGTTACCATGCGTGCTTTATATGGTATAGCTGGCTGCACTAAAAATTTAAACCTATGAGGGACCATCGTTTGGCGCTGCCCAAACCTGAATTTTGTGAGATTCTGGCTGCCCGAGCTTGACACAAGCCTTCAGATACCGGTCACACACTTTGCATCTGAACGAGGAGCTAATGAACCAGCGCCGCGGCTTAAATCAGCAGATCATCGAGGACATCGAGAGGCGCAGAGCGATTCAGGAGTCAGTCTGTCAATTTTGGTTGGGTCACTTTGCTTCAGACCTTCATCGCGCGTTTGAGGCCGAGAGCTGGCAGACCCAGTTCTACAGCCGCAACGTACTCGGTACCAAGAATTTTGGCATAATAGGGCATAAGTCATTACGGCTGCTACGACGTTACTCAGACCTTCCCACGAACCTTCCCGTGTCCCTGAAGCCCTGAATCTGGACACGTTCGGCAAGAAGGGCATGGAAAGTTTGGGGTTTGGCGTGTGTGTGTGTGGATGTGTAACGGCAACGATCTACGAAAAGCAAAAGCTAAACTTCAGCCCTGAATAGCACGTTACCCAGACCCTCTCACGCAGCCGGTGCAGGTTCGACTGGCCACCTGCTGATGCTGCTTCTTCACAGTTGACTTGCATGGCTCTTTGTCTCCAGAGACAACCCGAGAGCCCTTCTTATTCGGATTTAGAGTTTGGCGTTTAGGGCTTCGTGGCCTGGGGCTGTCAAGTTGTCAGGAACGGAGCTTCTTGCGTAAAGGATCTAGGACTCTAGGAGCTTCAAAGGTTAGGTTGCCTGCTATGACGATATAGGCTTCCCTTCTGCAACCTGCGGCCCCTAGCTTGCCTCGTAGAAGTGGAAACCGACACTCTCAAAGATTGGCCGAACCCCAGCCCTGAAAGTCTGACCAGCTTAAACCCCTCACGCTTTAGGTCGAAATGCCAGAACCCCAATGCCAGAAAGTCCTGATCCGTGCTGATGATCTCTACCTCGCCCAACAGCCTAGCGCTTCAAAGCGAATTTTGCGAAGTCTTCCTTCTCAGGTTTGCCTCGAGGATTTTGAACTCGCGGCGTCTTGCCGACGGCTACCTTGCCACCACGCTGCCGAGCTGAATTGCTCCAAGGTTTGGGTTGCAAGGTTCAGGGTTTTGGCCGCGATGCGGTCTGTGAAAGATGTAGCGAAGAGACATTGCCTTCTAATTGGAAACTGCACTTCCGTTTGAAGATGTCTGTGCGACAGTTGCATGGGTGGAAATTGAATAGAACCTGATGCAGACTACATCAGGGTTCTGCTTAACGTAGGGCAACAAAAGCGCCTTGATGTAAACGTTTGAAGGTAATGTGCCAAAATGAATTCGAAGATAGGAGGCAGATCTTTGCCGACTTATGTGTATGTGGCCGCTTGCCACCCTCGTAAGAGAACTTTAAAGCTCTGCGGCCGAAGATTGTTTAAACACATGGTTTACTTCAAATGATATATGCCTTCGACGAGGAGGGTTGGGGATGAGATGGGGCGGGAGGGGGTTGAGGGTGCGGAGCATCTTGAAGGTTTTGGCTAGGGACTGGGGCTTCAAGGCCCAAGGGGTGGAGGTAGGACTTGGGGCTTTCATTTGAGGCCTGGTTTGGGGTGTGGAGGCTTTCGGCTTTGGGGTTTTGCGGATCAGGGGGGTAGGGCTGTGGAGTTGATAGGTTCACGGAGCCTCAAGACGTCGGCTTTGGGGCTAACTCTAAGAGGCTGGCATGAGCTGAGTGTGTTCGAAGTAGCCAGCGCACCCAAACACACACGTAGACAGACGGGGCACAAAGAGAGCGAGAGAGACACAGGCACTTCTGAAATGCTTCAAACCTTTGCAAGCTGAGGCCAGACCCAGCAGCTTCAACTCTGCCTGGTTTCAGTCTTCATAGCAAGATGTTCTGAGATCCTGTTGCAGCTGTTGGGCTGAATTTTCTTCTGTGCCATGCAAAAGGGACTTCAGACTCCAGAATCCCGATTTCCGAGAACCTACACGCCATGAGCTGGAAACCCAAACCCCTAAGTCCTATAAACCCTGAGCTCGGAACTGGAAGGCCTAAACCCCTTAAACGTTCTCAGGTTTTTCATCAGCATTGCATCGACCTATGGTTGATGCGATGCACAGACTGCCCTATCTGCAAGGTGGGTCGAGGTTTGTGCTTGGGGATGTAAGCCTTCTGGTTGAAGGTCGACAGCAAGGGTGGACATTTGTGAGAGTGTAACTGTAGTACCCCAAGTCCATGTGCTTGAGTGATTCTCCACATACACTCGGTATGAGCATATCATGTGCCTCAACGTACGCTCTCTAGGAGCGTTTCATGGTGGATCATGTGTAGGGTTGTTGTGCCGAGAGCCTAGACCTTTTTGTCCCCGGTTTCGTTCATGTTGACGTCGTCGTCTGGTCCAGCTAGCGTTCACTAGCAGAAGTCTCCCACTTCCAGCCTTAGCCTAGCATGGGCCTTCGGCTTTAAGAGTGTTTGTACTGTAGGCATTACGTGTTGGCGCAAATTGGGGTTCGGGCTGTCTTTACTTCCTATCCCCAACCACCAAGCAGGCAAATGCGGATCGAAGCCGGGAGGAGTGAGCTGACGAAGCACTTCCGCCTAGGTCCTACAGCCTGAAACGCATAAGAAGCATTCTGAACGCTTACCGTCAGCACAGCTAGCATGAGAAGACATACTGATCCACCTCAAATGCATCGTGCAGCAGTATAGCCTGCTTCCTGACCCCTATATCACCGCTAAGCCCTTTACCCCAAACCTAAACTCTAAACCGGACAGTTTCATCCGTTTCACCATAGTCGAGAGCTCTTGACACAGGACTCGGCATCGCACGGCCAACCATGACCCAGCCCTCAAATTTGGAACTTAGTTCGCTGTGGCAAGGCCGAGGGAAACAAATATGAGTAATGCAAAAGGCACACGAGGGGTAAGCATCCGAGCCTGGTTTGTCTGTTTGGTGGTCATCGTGGTTTCGGGTCCTGAGTTGATCTCACCGGGGCTTTCAGGAACAGCAGAGGTCGCACCAATGGCTCTCTCAGACCAAGACCCAGTACATCGAGCATTTTGGTCATCGTCAGACCAAGCTCACGTGTCGCTTCTTCCTCCAGGCTACACTTGACTCCTCTGGCAACTGTGTTGCCAGATACCAACCCCCCCCCCCCAACCCCTACTTATCGGCTCGGTCTCTGTGTTGCGGCTTCTGGGCTTCCTCTGTCAGGAATACGACACAAGAACTTTAGGCTCGGGTTGTCGAGAGTCGCACAGTACCTGCGGCAGGCCCCATGGAATGTCCTGTGTTAGATCCTCTCGGCTTTCGAGCTACGATGCCCGAAGGAAAGCCTACGCCGCAGGGTTCAGGATTTGGGGGCACTTAAGAGTCAGGGGAGTCTACCTGAAACCCTAAACTTTGCCCGCAACAGCAGGCAACAGCCCCGCTCACACCCGAAACCAAAGCAGCACCCAGTAAATCTATACCGGCCATTCACCCTCGTGTTGGATTGGGTTTCTGGCCCCCGGAGTTCGAAGTTTCGGGCTGATCCCTCCATTACCCTGTTTCCATGATGGCCTCCATGTGCCAACAGAGACAAGGCTTCAAACCAGACTGGGGTAACCTGCTACATCTGATTTCTGACCACCCAGCTCTTATAACTTATAATAGCACAACTTAGCACCACGCATGCATCCAAAAGACTCAAACCTGGATCGTATTCGCATCGCGAGACCCCTACACCGTACAGCTTGAGCTAGCCCGAGCCTGAACCCGAAAATCGTGAACTCCGGTTCACCCTCAACACCCGGACCCAAAGGCTCAGGGTTCAGTAGGTTTACAATACGCAGCAGAAGGACAATTTGATAGTTTGTCTCCGGGTCGCTTACGGCATTTGAGGTTTGATGTCGGTTGCTACCTTTGAGCCTACACCCTGCGAGAGGCTCAAGATAGCCGGATAGAGGCTGCTGGCTGTTGAGTTCATCCGGCAAGTGGCGACTTACTTTATCTGTGCTCGGGCTTTGGCATGGTAGCAAGTTGCTCTCCATGTCTTGATAATCAAACATGATGTTTCAGGAACTGCTCTTCGAGTTCGTCCCCACATGCTGTGTAATTTCAGGAACCCAGTCTTGAGAGCAGCAGCTTGGATGTCACATCCCTATGTCCCGGAAGCCTGAACGTCAACCTCCTGATCGCAACATCTGCAAATCTGCTTACCTAAATCACTGCACTTCAGTGCCTTGGAAATCTCAAGATCAGAAACCCTCCAGCCAAAGAGACAGAGAGACAGGCAGACAGAGACAGAGATAAACAGGCGGAAAGAGAGACAGAGGCAAACAAAGGCAGATAGACAGACAGACAGACAGACAGACAGACAGACAGGGACCCGTACTGACACACACGTGTTCTCCAAAAAGTTTGTCGGTACATGTATGTCGTTTAACATAAAATTGGATGCCCTGTCCGAGTGACACCCAAGAGAGTGCGCCAAATCTTTTCTGACGATGCAGCAGGATCGCCATGGTTGGTATGCAGAAAGCTGGTTCTACGTTTCTGCAGTGCTCCAGCTGATCTGCCTCGGTAAGCTGCTGTGTGTGACAGTGCGGAGTCGGAGAGAGATTTGGGCAATTGCAAGAAGATGTGGTTGCTGCATGTGGCTGAAGGCAGATCTAGGAGACATGAAGCCTGAAGTGCAAAGGCTGATTGAGAGTAGGGCCACGCAGAGGCGCCTGGCGGCAACCAGAAGTTTCAATACCTTCCTCGTGTTCTGCTATCTCATAGTGTGCCTGATTTTCCAGTGCACCACAGTGGCGCAGAATGCATTGTTCATGTCGCTAGAGCTAGCTTGGCTGAGCACTGTCAGTTTGGCATTTTTTGGCTTTGGATACATTTATCCACGATTGTTTGTCTCGGGTATTCTGAACTGGTGGTACGTGGCCGGCATGGCGCTGCAATGCATTGGAGGGGTACCCAATTTCGGAACAGTGTACCAAAACTACTTTTTCAATTCTATGTCGACTATGCTGTTCCGACTGCCGGCTGTGCTGGTGTGCACAAAGCCTTGGCTGGTGCTCGCATGCAACATTGTCCCGCTTGTCATGGTCGTCCCGCGGACTCTGGTATATCACAATGTCGACAACTTCAGGGCAGACGGCTGCCCCCGTCGCGTGGGCAGGTTTAACCTGATTATGTCGGAGGTGGTTTTCTTTTGCCTTGTCAATTTGGCGGCAGTCGTGCTGGACAGACATCTCAAAGGACAAGAGAAGCAGCGCTTGCTCACGAGCCAAGCTGCCACGGACCTTCAAGCAGCCTCATCACTTCTTCAGCTGACCTGTGATGCGGTAGTGGAGCTGGATGACAAGCTTCGGTTTGCAGCTGCAGCGCCAGATCTGGAAGCAATGCTCCTGAAGAATACCCAGGCATCTTCGCTTTGTGGGAAGCGGTTCACCGACTTGATGCCGACTCGTGAGGAGGTTCGCCGGTTTCAGGAATACTCATCCTTTCCAGTTTCACGCTTTAGTCACATGTTTAGACGTTTCCGCCTTGAGGTCGCCATAGTGTTCCCTTCCATCCGACCTTACTGTGCCGCAGTGTGTCTTGAATCACCCTAGTGCGCTTCAGCTTCAAGCACACATGCTTGCATGCAAGTAAGTGTGCATGCAAGTGTTTGTCTGCACGACTCTCTGCTGCGCCTCGGCTTCGCCGCTTCTGCCAAACTGCTTCATGCATTCAGGCCGTCATGGCTGAGTTCCCTGTTTGGCATGCTCCGACCTGCAGGCTATCAACATATATGCGTGTGTCTACATGATTCTGTAGGTACATATGCATGCTGTGCTCTCGTCTCACACGCCCCTCTAAGACTATGGCTGCGAGGCTAAGCGGACTGAGAAGCTCCTACAGGGAACTGGCGGCTGGGAGATCTCAGCCACCGCCTTCCACACGCGCCTGATCGACAGCTGCTCCAGCAAGTTCCGGACTGAAGTCTTCCACGTCAAATACCTCCGTCCCAACCAGCAGGTGGGTTTGTAGCAGACAGGAGAGGTGACAGGAGTGCACAAGTGCAGCCAGGAATCCAACACCGAAGCCTCTTTAGAAGGGAACGAAGCGATGCCTCCTACGGCTCGAATCTCCAGGAGCACCCCTATTTTTCGAGCCGAAGTTTTAACGTGTCGAGTGTTATCTGACGTTGAACTGCACCCAGAGATTGAAAAGTTTCTGATTCCGAATAATGCATACATATATATATATATATATATATAAATACACACATACATAGACACATCCGATTTATTCGTTCATGCAGTCGTTCAAAGATACATACATACGCACATAGAAGGATACATACAAGCCTATATACAGAGATGCATGCGCACATGCATACATGCGTGCATACATGCATGTTCGTACGGACATACGCGCACAGGCGTGAGATCCCAAAGCGTATCAATGCTTGGAACAGGGTCTAATTAGGGAAGTTCAAGGTTTAAAAAGCCACGTCCTAAAGTTCTTGGTTCAGGGCTTTTGAGGTTTCTGGCTTAGCCGTTGTCCTCGTGAGGTGTGCCACTTGCTCGGACTGAGAGACTTCACGGATCAGGGCTCATTGGCGGGCCAGAAAGCGATGGACAGCTCAGCCGATGCCAGTCAAGGCCGCTCTTCGCTGTGCTTAACAACTCAAGCTTGTACGTAAGCTTAAGGTACCAGGAGCCTCAAATCTTGTGGAAGCTACCGAAGCCGAAGCCCTCATATTTGTCCGGACAGATCCTAAATCTACCAGATGCCCTGCCCCTGTGCGTGGTGGTAGATTTGGTAGCTACGTATCACAGTCTGCCGAAAAACGGTTCACTGTTCTCTTATTCCGGTACTGTAAAAATCTTACCTGCTAAGTTCGCAGCTCTGAGAGGTTGCTTCTGTTCGGGCTTTAGGCAATCTCTTGATTGCCAATCTTGCGCAGCGAAGTTCACGACGGGGGTTCTGTTAAGAGTCGGTAGCTTTTATAAAGGCATTTTCTACCGAAGCCGCGTAACTGCAGTATATGCTGATTGTCCAAGACATATGGTACTGTAGGCTTATGCAGGTTTTTTGCTACCTTCGAACTTTATATTCCACATCCCAGCAAGCCCCGAACTCCTAAACCGAAGCCCAGCAGCAGTTCATCGTCGCGGTGTATCTATCCCGACAGAATAACAGGGACTTTGTTGAAAGGAATGTTACCGTTTGTTAAAGCGGTCTATTTCTTATCCAAATGTTTCATATCGAGGACTGCTGGAAACAGGCATGCACGACCCGGGCAAGCTCAACGTAGATCCACGGCAGACTCGCCCCGTCGATTCCAGTGTAGATTCTAGTGCCGGCGGTGTGGATGACTTCGAGCAAAAGGGTCCACAGAGTACCTTCCTGTACATTGCATCTTGCCTGCATTGGATGTGGTTGGGATGCGGATATCTTGGCCCTCTTGGTTGTTTCTTCATCTGCGATGATCATGGTGACGATGATGATGATGGTTCAATGCTGAATACTCAAAGGCATGCAAATACTTGCGACAGCTAGGGCACGTCTTGAGCACACGCTATGGACACGTGCCATGCAAATAGCACTTGTGATGTTGACGGCACCGTTGCGTCTGCTGCTGCTGCCGACGACGACGACTACCACTACCAGTACTACCAACACTACTGCCAATGCTGCTGCTGCTGCTGCTGCTGCTGCTGCTGCTGCTGCTGCTACTCCTACTCCTACTCCTACTCCTACTCCTACTCCTACTACTACTACTACAGATCGGAA